TGCGTGGAATGGTGCGCTGTGATTGGTTGAGTGGATATATCGCATTCTGCAGAGAAGGGAGACTTCATGGCGTTTGTCGCGTTTTGGAAAAAAAAGGAGAAAACATGACAGAATAACTCGGCGGAGATCGCATTTTGCGTAAAATAAAAAATTGACTTTTCAATACCGAACTGAGCATTTTTCAGTTTTTCTTTTTTAATAAATCTGCAAAGATGTCAACAATTCTGTGTTTTTCTGTCAATATGGGGTGCTGTGTGTACATTAATGAGGGAAAAAAAATTAACTTAAATGATTTTAGCAAATGGCTGCAATATAACAAAGAGTGAAAAATTTAAGGGGGTCTGAATACTTTCCGTACCCACTGTATATAAAATCACTTTTGTAAATTTAATTTAATGCAGACACCGAAATGGGACGTCTTGTCTTTTACTATATATATATTTAGTATAGCATTGTAATATATTACAGAATATGTTTATTCTACAAAATATAACCAAAATAAATAAATAAAATAAACATGAACTTAAATTAAATAAAATATATTTTTAAAGTATTTATTGCTTTTACTTAATAAAAAGAAACACTATTAATAGGCAATTTTCATTACTTAATTGCCAATTCTATTCATTCTCATTTTCATTTAGTTTAACTTGATTTACTAAAATAACTAAAATAAAAATAAAAAGTAATAAAGACTATACAGACATTAAAAAAATCATAAAGAAAACACAAAAAGTTCAAATGAAACTGGAAAATATAAAAATTACTAATTCAATATAATAAAAATGACAATATTATGATACTAAAATAACACTGATAATACTAAAACACCCTATTTACTTTATTTTTTTTTTACTTTTATTTTCTTTATTTTCATGCAACTTTTAGGAAAGAGTTAATTATAATAAGCACATTCATAACTAGGCATGACACGAGTCACAAAATAAAGCCTGATGGGCCAGATGTGACTGTTGGAGCACTATGGCATAATTAAACCTTTATTTAACTTTAAATCAACTGCAGTTCTTTAAAACTCTGTGAGCAACTGATTGGTGCTATTAAATACATAATTTATGTGCTGAATCATTTCATGCTTTCAGAAAAACAAATCTGAAAAGAAACAAACTAATTGCTTGTGGGAAATTAATTTCCAAAATGGAGCAATTCTGACCTCAGGGTTACGGCACATTTACAGGCCCATCTCTGCTGATGACTGCCCTCTGTCTTTACGCCCTCAAGTCAAATTAGTCTGTGTGCATGAGTGTGCGTGTGTGTGTGTGTGTGTGTATGTGTTTTGGTGATTGCGGAGGAAGGTTGAGGTCTGGGATTCAGACAGTAAGAACATCGCCATGTGAATAAGAATCTTGCGTTGACTGATATGGGAAACAGAAAGAGGAAGTGTATGTCAACGCTAGGGCTGTGCGATTAATCGAAATCGAATCGAAATCGCGATTTGAGACGTCGCGATTTCCTAATCGCAAAGCCTGCGATATGGACGCGATATTACTCTGTTCCAGAGCATATGCATGACTGCCAGCCTTGAGTTGCAGTCTTACTAACCAATAGAGTGAGCGCACCTCCGTTCTCCCCAATCAGCACTGCTCTAGCCAACTGCATAAACACCCACCATTAAAAAATTAAAATTAAAATAAAAAAATTACAAAAAAAAAACAGAAAGCGGGAGAGAATTTTGTATTGGTTTAATGGAAACTATAAGAATTTCTGTGATAGTTTCTATTGTTTTTTTCAGCAGGGTAATGATACCCATACTGTGCTGCACATTATTGGCAATATTGAGCTGAAGCTTGACTTTGCAAATTTAAAATCGCAAATCAAATCGCAATCGCAATATCTGTCAAAAAAATCGCAATTTGATATTTTCCCCCAAATCGCACAGCCCTAGTCAACGCTGAGTAAACCAATGTGATTGAATGGTGCAATAGTACTGGACACCTTGTACTTTGCTAATGAACCGCACATTGTACCTCCCAGTGTGGCTATCTATGAATGAATCACAATGTAATAACATGATACAGTAATGTTTTAAAGGAATAGTCCACCCAAAATAAAAA